ATATATATATATATATATATATATATATATATATTCAGATTTAATTTCAACAAATCATTTATTATCCTTGATTTTTAGAGCGTGGTGCCGTTAAACGAAGAGTGCGGTTTAATAGAGTGGGTACCAAACTTAGTCGGTCTCCGACCTACCATTATGAATCTGTACAAAGAAAAAGGCATTTTAATTTCATCTAGAGAACTTAAAACGATGGTGTGTGGTAAGTCACAGAATGCCTAGTACGATAATGAAGAACGTTTATAATTCAATAGGATTGTTTTTACATTTAAATTGTTTTTTCAGCGTTAAATGACCTATTAGACAAGAAGAGGCAAGTATTTATAGAAAAACTATTGCCACGACATCCAGCTGTATTCGCAGAGTGGTTTCGCATTATGTTTCCTGATCCATATGGGTGGTGTGTATTAGTAAAATACGTTGTGTTGAATGTTTTATTGCGGGATGTAACTTTCTATTTAAAGATAATTGAATGTTTCATTTTTTATATATTTTTCTGTAATATTATATATAAGCACTAATTATTCAACTTTCGAGAAAGGTATGAAGCTCGTACAGCGTACATCAGGACCACCGCTGTTATGTCCATGGTGGGTTATATACTCGGGCTTGGCGATCGTCACGGAGAGAATATATTGTTTGATTCCAAATGCGGAGATTGTGTACACGTTGATTTCAACTGCTTATTTAATAGGGTAAAAAATAGATATATACATATACCGGAAGTTCATTTCACTATTAAACACAGTGCATTACAATTTTCAGGGTGAACAGTTTGACTGGCCGGAACGTGTACCATTTCGCTTGACTCATAACATGGTGGATGCTATGGGTCCTTTAAAAATTGAGGGACCATTCAGACGTGCTTGTCAAGTTACTATGCGAGTACTTCGGCAACAATCGAGCACATTGCTGAGCGTACTCACGCCTTTTGTATATGATCCACTTGTCAGTTGGAACAAAAAACAAGCCGGTGATGCGGCTGAAAAAACGAATGAAAAGGTATACCAGATACATAGTTTATTGTATCGAATTGCATGAAATAATTTAAGTAATTTATATTTATTTTTGTCATAGGCTGTAGAAAATATAAAGAACATCGAGCAACGATTGAAAGGTTTGATTCGGTATCCTGGAAGAAAAGCTGAAAATATTGCATTACATCTCAGTGTCGAAGGACAGACTAATCATTTGATTTTAGATGCAACAAATATAGATAACTTATGCCAGATGTACTTTGGTTGGGGTGCATATTTGTGAAAAGTATAGGATTACTCATGGAGCAAAACCCCATACGGGCAATAGAATTCAGAACAGCAATTTTTTAAGAAAATTTTTGTTATATTTGCAGTTATAATTTAAAGACCTACCAGACAAATTATGAGACTGCTGGCTAACGTTTGCAGGAATATTGGATTAAAAACCATTTCCATATGATCACAAAACCTAAATGTAACATTATTATTTTTCATAATCACAGATACTGCTTAAGAGTTTTTATTTACATAAAATTATTGAAGAACTATATAACATATAATGTTTAATAATATGTACTAAATATAAGATTATTAGAGTTCTCTTTAATTGACTTTTTAATCGTTATTATAATTTTATTTCTTTTTTTGTAATATCAGATTTTTCATTCACATTTATAATTTTTTTATAATTATGGTACATTAGTTTCTTCTGAGCTGACACTTCGAAGCAACATAAAGTATGAGACAGCAGTGCTCAATACCTGCAAATCAAAATTAGAATATTTTTTGTTTATCTTATAATAAGTGAGATGTATATGCATAACATTCTTACTGAGTTGAAATTCTCCAAATGCATTACGTAGAATCTTCCTGCAGTAATTTTACTTGGCTCCTGACTACGCAACATAGGCAAACATATCTCGTTTTTAAAGGAAACTGGCAATTTATACCAACTGGTTGAATATAGTGTTTTACTGATTGCGAAACTCTATGGCATAGATAAAATGTGTATGATGAGTTTGTTTCTTATTGTATTAATTTTGTTATTTCGTTACTTACCTCATTTATTAGAATATCACCAGGAATACAAAAAAGTAACAATTGGAAAAGTGCCATTATTAAATATGAAAAGTATTTAATCAATTTAGATTTTGCTGCTAATTCCTACTAATAAAATTCGATGTAAACATAAGATTGCCAATATAATAGATTTTCGAGGAAATTTTGTTATACTTGCAGTTGTAATTTGAAGACCTACTAGACAAATTATGAGACTGCTAGCCAATGTTTGCAGGAATAACATTGGACTAAAAACCATTTCCATATGATCACAAAACCTAAATGTAACATTATTATATTTCATAATCACAGCTACTGCTTAAGTTTTTATTTAGATAAAATTACCGGAGTATTATATAATGATGTTTAATAATATGTATTATTTGTAACTTGATTTTTCGCACAGAATCTTCTTTATTGTGTGCGTATGGTACCTGGATAGAATAAAAAAATCTTTTACGTAATATATCTACAAGCATATGACAATAGGCCACTACATGCGTTTTAATTTATAGTAATTGTAATGATAAATTGTATGGAAAATTGTTAAGTAATTATATACTGACGAAGCCAATTTGAACGTTAATATTTTTTATCTTTTCTTGAAGTATTTTGAAATGGCCACATGTATGAAACAACGCTGTTGCAATTAAGGTGTCAGTTCCCAGGATAACAAGACCACATAAGCTCGTTGCTATCACTTGCGAAAGATAAACGATCTACATAACCAAAGATACAAGTGTTACTATTCTAAATTAAACGCGAAAATGATATTGTTCTTACCTCGTATATCGGAAAATTATAATAAGATTTAGGATATAAAGCTAAGAATGGAAAATGTTTTGTATTGTTATCATTAGATCCAACATTGTTATCGTTAGTGATTGTAGTAATAAGTATTTCAATTAGAGGTAGACTGAAGAAAAATAGTAAAGAATTACAAATTAAAAATACATATCCTTTAGTAAGCTTTTTGGCGTATCTGTAATTATTACTATGTAGTAACAAATGTTATTATATGGACCTACGATATATATATATATATATATATATATAT